ATGCTGAAGGTGCTGGTTCTTGGTATGTGGCTTTATTTTACCACCCAAACCCAGAGTCTGGCCAGAGCCAAGATCAGAGGGCAGGCAGGTGAGAGCCCTGCGTGCGTCCCCCTGCCATCTGTTGTGGTGAATCTACAGGAGATGGCTTTCCGAGGCACAGATGTCACCACTTCTGTTACTGAGGAGAGCTCCTCGTGGCCTTCCAACCCCCAGCATCAAGCCCACCCTCCGGGAATGCCCCTAAGAGTTCCTCTTCTGTGCTGTCCACCTCGTATCTCACACAGGAGAGTCCCCATCAGGAGTCCTTTGCTGCTCCAGAACCTGCCAGTGAGGAGGGTTCTGTCCCCAGTGGTGATGGAGCTTCCCTGATGAGACCTAAATTGTCATTTTGCGATTTCTCCTTCCATCAAGAACGCTGTGGTAATCGTCTCCCCAGGGTAGGCTTACCTCATGATGCTGTGCTGTGGGGACTCTAAATGCTGTTTTCTTGCTGTCTTTCAGACAGAAACAGTCTTCGCCAGTCAAGAAACCCTCAAAAGTCTTTTGCCATGGATTTAGAAGATGAAGAAAACATGAGTAAGATTTAGGCCCATCGTGTGTAGCAAATAGCTAATTTTCCGTTAAAATGTTGGTGTTTTTGTAAACTTATTAATGAGACCAGTTCGGGAAGTGTGATTTTCTTATGTGATGTGTGCTCCCAATAGTGTCATGTTTTTAATGTTTGGCGCATTCTCTGCGGTGGGTATCAGTACTGACCATGGGCATTTCCCCGATAGCCACGTGCTGAGGTTTTTCACTCCATCGTTTGTGATTTCTGGAACATGCCTCTGGCTGTGTGTCTCGTGCAGCTGCCTGGCTTCACGAGAAGTTGTGTCACAGCTGGTTCTCAGAATACTGCTGTGAATTTTCATCTGTGCAAACAGAGGATGACCTTTGGGATTGACTTAAATACCTAGTCATTTAAATACAGAAATGTTTCCCTTCAGAAACAGAGGAGTCTCTCTGCATTTTGCGGGGAAGGGTTCACGTGTGTCTGGTAAGCTTGAGTACCTGGGGCTGGTATAAGCAGAACTGGCTTGGGGCCTTTCCCCCTCCCCACACTGTGTTCTCTGGGGCCAAGAGGATGGAGAACCTCAGGTCCACCAGCTTTTTCCTCTCTCAGAGTTGTTCTTTATGAAGAATTCAAGGGACATGCTTCTGTCTTTTATTTTATCTTCAGTCCCAGAGAGCAGTGTGTTTAAATAAGGTTTAAATGTTGCCACAGAAGCTGGGAGAGGTTAGTGGGGGAAATTACAACAAAGACATCATTTTTCTAAATGATAGTGGAAGTGGGTATTGATCGTTGCAGCTCAGCTCAGCACACTTCCCTGTGACGTCACACAGAACTCACCACCTGAGGTCTTGGAGTTGCTCTTCTTATTGCATGAATCACATGGCAGCCCAGTAGGACACTCAGGCCTGATAGTGCTGCTCCTTGAGCTCCCTGCCAATGCTTTGGACAGAACCAGGTCTTCATGAGGTGAACTTCGCAATAAAGAGGCCAGCACTGTGTGGGGTGTGAGGGTTGGCAGCCTCGGTAGGCGCTACCCAGAGCCATGTGACTGGTGCTTACATGCTCAGCTGACACCTGTGCTGCCCTCCTGTGGGTGCCTTTCTCAGATTGGTGTTCTCATCAATTCCTGTTCTTAAGCTCTTTTCAAAACAACACCTTATATTGTCACTGGGCACATCCTCTCAACATTTCCATTTTTGCCACAATTTATAAAACAGATTATGCCCACACTCATATAGAATATGTGACCTTTGATTGCCCCATGTAATTTTCCACCTGAAGCACATGTGCAGGTGTCCC